TTTTTTTTTTTTTGGAAAGAAATATAAGGGAGGGAGGGCATGATCGCAGGTTAAGCAACAGTGGACGGACCAAAACTTACTAGAATCGACCAAAGACTTTGTAAAACTTTACCCACTAATTACTAATCACTTTTCACTTGACTATGAAGGTGGCTTCCGCTCAATTTGTCGAAACATCACAATCAGTCACGAACAGCAGTTCTTTTGAGAACTACCCTCACCCGGACGATCACGCTATACGAATTACTTCTACAGTCTACTCAGTGACCTCCATATTCCACGAGAAGCACCACTAGATAGCAAAATATGTCATGGACCGCTACCTACGTTTTCCAGTTGAACAATGAAACTTGGACTTTACAGACTTAAAAGAAACTAAGCTGACCTTCGAAATTTCATCTTCCACTTTGCGTTAATGTAATGGACAGTACTGCTAAAGCATTCGATACTGAGAGACTATTGAACTCTCCTAAAAACTAATCCAAAAAAGGTTCAACCATCTCTTTTGCCTCTCTGATACTTTGAAAAAAAAAAAGGTTAAGTCTGCATACGAGCCAAGTGGCCCATCAGGTCCGTGCTTATCTCTAGTTTCAGTAGCATGAAGCGATTAGGAGTATTTCTATTCTTCTCTGGATGGGATGTTAGTCCATCGCAGATTTACTCCCGGCACTAAATTCGCCAGTACTCATTTATACACCTGGGTGGAGAGAGGCACTGTGAGACTAAAGTGTCTTGCCCAAGAACACAACATAATGTCAACGGCTAGGGCTCGAACCCAGATCACTGGATCCGGAGTTGACCGCGCCTCCCACAAAAAAAATATTTAAATTTAAAAAATAAATAAATAAATAAAAGCTACTTTAAATAGGCCCTTAAAATTGACAGGTAATCACGAAGTTTCAGTTTCAGCGAATGATCCTCTAAGAGTATAGTCAATACTTTAAGTTTGCTTCAGTTATGATCAGACAAGCTGTCAGATGATCACTGCTATTCTAAAGTTTCCCTATAAGTTCACAGGCACATTGTCAACGAGTACCTCGGGGTTTGTCGAGTTGGCGTGCTCGCGAGTGCGCTTCTTCTTGTGGACTAAGAGCAAGGTGAGTACAGTAATCATGGGATAACCCGGAAACACTGACCCCCGGTCCGCGGACCCCCACTATGGACCGAGTCCGTGGACTACCCATGGACCGGTCCACGGACTACCGTTACGGACACTCTCTACGGACCACCCCCCCAAAATAGAATAAAGATAAGAAATAAATGTTTCATTAATGGGTTGTCCAATAAATTACTCATATCGGCGAAATTTCGAGTGTTACACTGTGCAAAATGTAATTAACACGCCCCCGCCCCCTACCCCCAGAAAAAAAAAATGCCTAAAAGCTGTTTTCAGCGTAAGGAGATGCCGATGACAAAAAGAAGGAAAGTTCTTAACTTTCATTCATGGCTCCATCGGGCTATGGAAGGTCTGTTTTTAGGTTGTTTAAGCTTGTTTCTATCTGTAACTCCGCTGAGCAAATTATGAAGCCTGGAGCGAGTTCACGAATCCACGCGAGAATGGGCTGAACAAAATGGCTCAGGGGAAAGAGCACAAATTTCAAGCCGGCCTCTCAGAGGCTTCCCGGAGGCTTCCTGGGGGCTTCCCGGTCTTTTATATACTGTATGGCCGCAGCAAAGGAAAGGGTAATGTGTAATGATATAACTTGCGCCCGAACCTGAACCCAAGAATGCTACATTTGCACACTATAACGTTCGAAATCTTGCTGACACAAGTAATCTATTAGACAACCCGTAAGTGACATGTTTGTTTCTTATTTTTATTCTACTTTGGGGAGTGGTCCGTAGAGGGTCTCCGTAGGGGTAGTCCGTGAACTGGTCCATAGGTAGTCCGCGGACCCGGTCCGTAGTGGGGGTCCGCGGACTGGGGGTCAGTGTTTTCGGGTTACCCGTAATCATGCATTATAAAGACAATTAAAGCAACTACTCTGTTGCCAATTCCAAATTACATGTCAACTTGAGAAGTCGTGTGAACTATCACGTTAAGAGTGCAAATATGGCACGGGTCCAGGATTACAAGTTTCTTCTGTCTGCACGCTATCCCTAGCGCAATCCCGCGTGCATGCAATCCCCACAATACTCTGGGATTCGTAGTCTTTTGGGCAAGTTAATTCGAATTCTTATCCAGTTTCACGGTGTTCCTGAAAATTGTTCTATTAGTGAATTACATTTGTGACTCTTAATAGTTTGTCTAATACTAAAAAAAGTGAACTTTTCCTTAGGTCGAGCTTATGTCCTACTATTATGACGTCTTAATCAAAAGATTTTCCAGTATTTTTGTTCTTAATTGTCTTACAGGTCACACGTGTTTTCGTCTAATAGGGCTAAACAAATATTAAGCAACCATGGCTTACGGATCGAGTCTGCTTGTTTATTTAACATTATGATACCTTAAAGCATGAAAAGCATTTCGAAAATTAAACAATCCAGTTCGTGTAAATCAGCATTGCTACAAAATTTTCATACTAAGTGTATCCTGTGTATCGTACTATATTTCACTTTGCCGAGTTCAGGAGTGATTCGTCTGTTCATTAGTCTGTTAAGATTTTTTTACTCCTTCTACCGCATTAAAATGAGATGTGCCTGCCACCAGTGCAACAGATGGCCTGGTGGAAATATGTTTTGAAACCGTGATGGTTCGTAAGCCTGAGGGGTTAATTATTGGTTCGTTTTCATCAGCGTGGTAAGAATTCAAAACAAACATAGTTTTTTTACAAAGTCTACCGCCCGGAATCCGGGTTGTAAAAACGTCAGAGTCTGCTCCTAAAAAACGGACCCTTGCTTGACGAGGTGGAGGCGCGATGGGCTCGTGGTTAGTGTGCTCGACTCCGGATCGGTCCGGGTTCGAGCCCTGGTGTTGCGTTAGTCTTTTGCAAGACACTTTACTCTAACAGTGCCTCTCTCCACCCAGGTTTATAAATGAGTAAAAGTGAATGCAATGCTTAGTGAAAACCAGCATCCCATACAGTGGAGAGTAGAAATACTCCTAGTCAATTCCTGCCATTGAAACGGGAGAAAAGCGCCGGCCTGATGGGTCAATTGGCTCGTATGTGGACTTGCCTAGACTGTTTTGAGCCAGTAAAAACGAATAAAATCCCATTAGATCAACGACCAATTTTTTGTCAAATTGCAATATTACAAAGTCGCGTCAAAAATACATTGTTGGAGGTGTGCGCTGTCGTGAGACACATTATACCGTGAGATAATTGTGAATGTACACGCAAACTGGCACTGAAAATCGGCTAAAACCGGGGCAGGGATAGAAATAGTAAAGCTGGACACCATAAGGCATAGCTACCATACAAAAGAAGATATTATAACAATCTGCATTAAAACAGAATTACCTTTGTTTGGTCTGATGGTTTGTTAGCCGGACACAATAAAACAATCCAGTTTAATTAAATAGTTCACAATACAGTCATATTCCTTCACTATGGCCATTTTTCCTTTCTATCTTTATTCGCGTCACGTTCAAACAAAAAGCTCAAGAACTAAGGACTGGACCCTGTACTTTTAGCGCTAAGTAAAATCGCATTTAAGGCGCGGTACTGCACAGTGTGACCTTTGAACATTCTGTTTCAATTGGTTTGCAAATATTCACTTTTAATTGTAATAATAAACTAAAACACCTGAAAGGGAGGACCAAAAATTAATTTCGCAAGTACTTTTAAAATCAGAGAGGCTTAAAACGAAACAAAAACAAAAACCAACTAACATGGCGGTCTAAAAAGGCGGTCGCAAGGTTGTAACGCTAACTTGCGCCAATAAGACGCCTGCACTGCAGGCTAGGAAAAGAGAGACTGCTCGCAGTCTACCCAGTTTACTTCGCCTTTCGTTCGTTTTTTCGCGTTACGTTCGAAACAAGAAGCTCAAGGTCTTAGAACTGGGCTTGGCAACTTGACCGCTGGAGATCGCTAGGTGATCGTGTGAAAGGCACGGTACCGCACAGTATGACGTTTGAAAGAGCATTCACTAAGTCACATAAAAAAATCCAAAGCTTGCATGACTGTGGCCAGTGGCAGTGATTCGCCGTAATTTTACCTAGGCCGGTTAATGTAATCTGCATGCCTAAAAAGACTCTGTTTCAGTTGCTTTGCAAATATTCGCTTTTCATTGTAAATATAAACTCAAATGCTTGAATGGGGATCCCCAAATATTAATTTCACATCAGGNCGCATGCCCCCCCCCCAAATCCCACCAGCCCCCCCTACATTATAAAAAATGAACGGTCCCTTACGTTCGAAACAAGAAGCTCGAGGGCTTAGAACTGGGCTTGGCAACGTGACCGCTGGAGATCGCTAGGTGATCGTGTGAAAGGCACAGTACCGCACAGTATGACGTTTGAAAGAGCATTCACTAAGTCACAAAAAAATCCAAAGTTTGCATGAGTGTGGCCAGTGGCAGTGATTCGCCGTAATTTTACCTAGGCCGGTCAATGTAATCTGCATGCCTAAAAAGACTCTGTTTCAGTTGCTTTGCAAATATTCGCTTTTCATTGTAAATATAAACTCAAATGCTTGAATGGGGATCCCCAAATATTAATTTCACATCAGGGAGAGGAAAGTATTCAAAAAAATTAAGTACTTTACTTGCAAACAATTTTGGACGCCTTATTTCGGACGTTAAATTTTAGGACACTTTTGTCTCATTTTGGACAAAAATCGGACAACAATTTCGGACATTGTGATTACACATAGCTAAAGTAACTTCACGCTTACAAAACACGAATTAGACTGAAGCAACATCGATGAAATGATAGTTTTACTGCACCCTCAAGATTTTAGAGATATACTTAGCCAGGCAGACAGCGTGGCCGAGTGGTTTATGGCGCTGGTGATGTAATCCGGACGTCCTGGGCTCAGAGCCTCCTTGGGTTCCTCCGGGTTCAGGGCCTCCTTGTGGAGGCGGCGTGGCCGAGTGGTTTAGGGCGCTGGATTTGAAATCTGGAGGTCCCTGGTTCAAATAATCCACCCTACCGCTATCTGGATTTGTTATCGGTTGCCCCGAGGTCAACTCCTCGACCGCGTTGTGTAAATAGTCAACTGGTCAGCCTCCAACTAGTTGGGATTCTTAATAGTTTATGTTATATTTGAAATATTTGTTTATTTATTTACTGTGTCTCCAATTAGCACCTTTAATAGTGCTCAATACATTTGACACTTAAATAAAGTTATTATTATTCCACCCACTAGCGGGATTTGTTTCTCGGTAGTCCCGAGTTCAAAACCTCTGTCACGCTTTGCCTCCTGCCAGTTGGGATGTTAGGTCTATTTGAAATATTTGTTTCCTTCATTTCAGTGGCATAAACTAGCTAAGCTTAGTGCTTGTATAGCCAAGCGCGTGACCACTATAAATAAGATTTACTTTTTTTTTACATTTACATTTACATTTAGAAATAACACAAATATAATAACCATTTTTTTTTTGCATGTAATATATAAAAGCTTAAAACGAAACCTAAAACACAAAAGCAGAAAACTTTAAGGTGTAGATAAATGAAGTCAGGAGACGATCTCTGTGCTGCACACAGCGCGTATTAGTCGATCAATGAGCTGAGCATTAACTTTCTTTGTTCATTCAGGTATGTCCGAGACCCTCAAACTGCGAAGAAATCTTTTGCTTGACGCGGGCTGGCTCACAAATTTGCAGCAGTTTCAAGGAGCACGGCCTGATCACGTGCGAGTCGAAAGTTCAAGTTGTTGTTTCCCTAAGGAGTTAGTGAGTTTTGTTCGCCCTAGGGAGTTAGTGAGTTTTGTTCGCCCTAGGGAGTTAGTGAGTTTTGACCCACGACATGTGACACGCTCTCCTCCAATCGGAAAACGTATTTGAGTTGAGAGGTACAACAAAACAGTTTAAACATTGTCATTGAAATTAAACGATCTTAATTTGTGTGGCAACCTAATTTGCACAATGAACTGTAATATTCGCAAAAGCACCAAAAGTTCTAAGCCGCTGTGACAAAGGGAGATAAAATGGCAATATATTTTTGCATTGGTATGTTTCCTATCCCTTGTTTAGAAGAATTTGCTTGGAGCTTTGG